GAGAGAGAGAGAACAAGCATGCAAATGTCAGTGTGAGTGCGTGGCACATGTGTGTTTCCTGCCTGTGCAGCAGGCTGATAAAAACAAAGAACCACAAACCTTGTCCCCGCTCCCACTTTGTCTTTCCCTGCTTCCATTCAGGGTGAAACTCCATAAATTAAAGACCACAACCTGTCGGGGTGCAGCCAAGGCCTGACAGCTGTGTGCTGGTTGTGGCACTGTGTGGGACTGTGTGGGATGAGGAGCTTGCTCCATTAAGTTGCTCGGCTGGCTTTTTCATTAGTGGTATAGCCTGTATTATTATATCAACACTGGTATTTGGTCTTTCTTTATCACTAAAGAGGTCAGTTACTGCACTCACTAACAACAGGGAAGTAGCATGGGCTGCTTTTTGAAACCATGGTGGCTATTGTGTTACCCTAGTCTGATTCGTCCACTATTTCCGTGATTGCCCTCTCCAGGGTTGCTAATAACTGCAGTAATAGATGGTCTGGACTAAAATTGCTGAACACATCCCCCAGAGAACAATGTGGAACACTTTTGTTGGTCTCTTGATGTTTTTTTTAATCGTCTGATCATAAGATCAAAACTGTCTATTGTTATGCTTAAATACATGCAAATGATGCTGGCATGTTATCATGCTGAACCATAAACAGTTTAAACAATAGATGTACCTACAGCACTGTGCAAATCTCTTCAGCTAACTCTCATTTCTCTGTATATTTTTTCCAAGGAGTCAGACTTTCTTTTAAGGTTTTTACACCTAACTGAAAAAACCTTAGCAAAGAACCAATTTTAAAATGTATCTTTAGGCACTTTGTTACCAGCAGTTTGCTGTGAATCTGCGAGGAATTCTAGATGCAACACAGGTTGACAGGCTTAAAATATTTTCTGTGTGTCAATAAGGTGATTCTCAAAGAGCCATTAGCTAAACACTTGCCATATCTCATCATCGTGTATCCTTAAAAAATGTGAAAAAACAAAACTTGTGTCCGCGCTGTAACATTTGTTTTTGCATTTGAAGAAAAGCGCTGACACGGGGCCTGAGAGATGGATCTGACCTTTCAGCTGATCCATCTACAAAATAAGGTCTGTAAAACAAGGTGGAAGCTCTGTCATGGTTTGGGAATGCAACATAATCTGGAAAGCCTCTGTTTAGCAACAGCTTCATATTTCAAGATGACAATGATCCCAAATACGCTGCCATTGCAGTAAAGTTTCATTCACGGATTGGCCTCCTCAGAGTCCAGATCCCAATATTATTAATGCAGTGTGGGATCATCCTGACAGAGAATAGAACAAAAAGCAGCCAACATCCAAAGAAGAGCTTTGAATATCCTTCAAGAAGCCTGGAGAACAGTTCCTGAAGGCTACTTAAAGAAATCAGAAGAAAGCTCACTAAGAGAGTTCAAGCTGTGTTGAACTCTGTTAGGCAAAGGCGGTCACACCTTGTGTTAATTTTCCAGCTGGTTAGAATTGTAAAAATTCTGTTATTCCACATATGACTGCACACTTCATTAACTTCCTAAAACCCAAACTCTTCCACGGCATGCATTTTTAATTTCTCTTTGATATTTGGGCTGATTGGGACCCAATGAACGTAAAAACAAAGAATTACCAGATTTTTTTTTTTTTTTACCTGATTTTTTGTTTCTAAGAAAAATGAGAGCCACATATGAGGATATTCGTTTAAAATTTCGATAGACCAGTAGCAGTGTAATGTACTCATAAGTGGATATCAGGCCCTTGTAGAGCAAAGGGAGTATTTTGGTCTAAATAACCCAAAATGTGATGTCTACAAATGTGGACGCCAGGTCCTAGGAGGTAAATCACTGCAGAGTACTGCAAACGCCAGTGTTAGAAGTAAGTTCTCCAGACTGTCCATTAAGCCAAAACACAGCACCTTCTCTATATATTTTACTCAGTTGTATATAGTATTTGTATTTGTATTCTATTTTTATCTTATTGTATATTTATTTTATTTTATTCTACTGTATATAGTATTTTATTCTATTCTGTACAGTTGTGTACTGTATTTATTCTTATTGTATTCTAATTTTTTGCCTCATAACTTTTGCACTGTCCACTTCCTGCTGTGACAAAACAAATTTCCCACGTGTGGGACTAATAAAGGTTATCTTATCTTATCTTATCTTATAGTCATCTGCCAGGTATCATCATTATCATCATTATTATTATCAATATTTCTTAGTCTATATTCTGCCTGTAGTCTTTTACATTGTTTTCTTGCGTTCTTTATCAACTAGTCAGTTATATCCATATATAGCATTTGTTCTTGTTTTATACTTGTGCATATATGCTGTTATGCTTCGTTCCATACATTTGTATATTTAGATTGTTATTCATGAGAATTGTGAGATACTAATATGGTGCTAATGACACAATAATACTTAAATAATTGTTCTTCTTTTACTCGTTACAGATTAATCTGTGTGCATTTTTAATGTTCCCTTTATATTGTGAATTCTTCTAGCTTCAG